ATGATCCGTGGAATCTAATTTAAATAAATTTATTTATTGTCATAAATTAAAATTTTAAACTTGATTTGTTTTTATTGATATAGGATCACTGAAAAAATTATACTTGGATATTGCACCAAAGGTATCTTGTGTAGGAATCTAAAAAAAATAATAAAATAGATTTTAATGGCCCACAGTAATGCTCAACTTGTTCTTGATTTTCAGTATCTTCAAGATGATTGGATGTTGAATTGTTTATTTCCAGTATCTTCAAGATGGTTGGATGTTGTAGGAATAAGACTTTGCTCGTTCCTTTTCTTGATACGACAAAGTGCCTGTCTCTTTCTAGCTTTCTCCTTATGTTGATTTATTATTAAAATTTAAAAATATAAGAATTACTCAATTTTATAAAAATAAGTTTAGTTTAAAATATTTATTATTGTGGACATAAAATAAAATTACTAAATATATACTTCATAAACATATTTATAAAAAATAATGGAAAATATTAGAATAGCCCCACACCTAATAAATATATATTTCGGAATCACATCTTATAAGATAGGAAAAATCTGATCAGCTAACATACAATACAAATTAAAAAAAAATATAAAATTTACTCTTGTTGAAGCAATAATGCCTTCTTTAGATTTTGGTATTATGAAACGTTCCATTGTTTGGTTTTGTTGAATGGTATCTTGTGTAGGAATTTAAAAAAAATAATAAAATAGATTTTAATGGCCCACAGTAATGTTCAACTTGTTCTTGATTTTCAGTACTTCAAGATGATTGGATGTTGAAGCAAATTGTTTATTTCCAGTATCTTCAAGATGGTTGGATGTTGTAGGAATAAGACTTTGCTCGTTCCTTTTCTTGATACGACAAAGTGCCTGTCTCTTTCTAGCTTTCTCCTTATGTTGATTTATTATTAAAATTTAAAAATATAAGAATTACTCAATTTTATAAAAATAAGTTTAGTTTAAAATATTTATTATTGTGGACATAAAATAAAATTACTAAATATATACTTCATAAACATATTTATAAAAAATAATGGAAAATATTAGAATAGCCCCTCACCTAATAAATATATATTTCGGAATCACATCTTATAAGATAGGAAAAATCTGATCAGCTAACATACAATACAAATTATAAAAAATATAAAATTTACTCTTGTTGAAGCAATAATGCCTTCTTTAGATTTTGGTAGTATGAAACGTTCCATTGTTTGGTTTTGTTGAATGGTATCTTGTGTAGGAATCTAAAAAAAAATAATAAAATAGATTTTAATGGCCCTCAGTATTTTTAATTTTTGGAAGGCAATTATAATAATTCCTCTATCTGCTGAAACTTATCAGCAATATAAGATTTGCAATCTAATTTTTAGTTCAACTTGTTCTTGATTTTCAGTATCTTTAAGATGATTGGATGTTGAAGCAAATTGTTTATTTCCAGTATCTTCAAGATGGTTGGATGTTGTAGGAATAAGACTTTGTTCGTTCCTTTTCTTGATACGACAAAGTGCCTGTCTCTTTCTAGCTTTCTCCTTATGTTGATTTATTATTAAAATTTAAAAATATAAGAATTACTCAATTTTATAAAAATAAGTTTAGTTTAAAATATTTATTATTGTGGACATAAAATAAAATTACTAAATATATACTTCATAAACATATTTATAAAAAATAATGGAAAATATTAGAATAGCCCCTCACCTAATAAATATATATTTCGGAATCACATCTTAAAAATATAAAATTTACTCTTGTTGAAGCAATAATGCCTTCTTTAGATTTTGGTAGTATGAAACGTTCCATTGTTTGGTTTTGTTGAATGGTATTTTGTGTAGGAATCTAAAAAAAAATAATAAAATAGATTTTAATGGCCCACAGTAATGTTCAACTTGTTCTTGATTTTCAGTATCTTCAAGGTTAAGATGTGTAAATTGAAAGTATATGGTTTTGCTCGATGTGGTGTCTGTTAAAAAATATAATTATTTACTGATGATTGAAGGTTTTGCTCGATGTTGTGTCTGTTAAAAAAAATATCAATTATTGTAATTATTATATTATTATATGTTTTGTAATTGTTTTTTGTATTGAAATTCTTTTTTTGAAAATGGCGGTTCGATTTGGTTTATGAATGCGTGTTTGATATGTTTAAGCTATGATGATTTTTATTGAATATATATATTATAGATTTGAATTCCTTAGCTATTGTAGGATTATCTGCAAACATTTTTTTCATACTAATGTTCCTTCCTGCCTATTGCCTCAAAATACTTCTGAAATGCTTTCCATGATTTATAGGAGATTAAACCCATTTTGCTAATATGATCTAAATTGGCTTAAAATTGCTATGATAGATAGAGAGATAAATTATAGATATATAGAAAGAACAATATATTTGACATCAATTAAGACAAAATATTTACATTTCAACTTAGAAATATAATGCTATTTAAAATAAAATATAATATTATAGATGGCGCTAATTATCATGGAGATTAGAACTACAATTTAACATAACTTAAATACTTCCGAATTTGTTAATATTAATTAAATATTATTAAGAATCACTCCCTATTTAAGTAGGACAAACGTCCAATAATTAATAAAGAAGTTGAATATTACATAATATATTAACAAAATTATAATTGACTATTATCAGGTAAAATAATTGACTATATAATGTCACAGTTGTGACTGTAACTACTATAATCATTATGATTAGGCAAAAAATATTTAAAAGAAAACTATTGGCTAAATTTGATTGACATTTTTTGAGGATTATATATATAGATTATAATAAAAGTATTAATTTTTACAGCAATAAATTTTGTCTTATTTCATCTCAAAATTTAATAGATAACCTGCTCCAAAAAATTTAACTTAGTAGCCAGGATTTTGATAAGGGGGGGGTGGGGAATTAAAAAATTACTGGGGACTTCGCCCCCAGCAGCCCGTTTTCCCCCGGCCTTCGGCCGGGTTACTTTAGTCTTTATATAGTCATAAAATATTTTTACAAATTTTAATAAAAAAAATAAGCCTGGAACAAATATGAAATATATTTTTATTAGTTTATATAAAATAAAAATATAATAAATTACTTGTATTGTGTATACCTTAATATAAGAGCATGGTAATAATTTATTCCAACAATTATAAGAAATTTATTGGTTAATGATGCCTACTACCAAGTGAATGTATGGAAATATTTTAAATACCAACCTAATTTGCTAAATACTGACCAAAATATATTAAAATGTAATAAGACCCTTATTATTTAATATATTAGTACGGAATCACGTGGTCGAGTCCGGCCTCCTATAAATTATCCCCCCAAGGATGGAACCACCAAGTTAGATTAAGAAAAATAACATGACCATTCCAGGGATTTGAACCCGGGAGTATGGGATCAGTAAGCCAAGCTCTTGCCGATTAGACCGTAGAGGCCTTCAAAAAATCACGATTTTTCAAATATATATTATAAATATATTTGGTAGTGCCTATCCAAATGAAAAATGAACAAAATTCAAATTTGATAGGTAGTACCTTAAAGTAGTAAGCATCATTAACCAAATTTATTTATAAAAAGTAAGTAGACATATAGTTGATTTTACTCTATTATATAGAATTAGTTATAAAATACTAGGTAAAACTTTTACAGACATATTTGACAGTTAGAGAATATATTACAGTTAATAACTTAAGAAATTTTACTAATTAATGCTCTTGATATTAAATATTGCAACAATTTGCATTCAATTATTTAACGCCATCTATTTATTTTAAGTAAAAATGATATTAAAATTTAATCTTATTCATCCCACAATGTCTTATAATATTTTCTGATGTCCTTATCAATATTTTATAGTTTTCTGTAAAATATATAATTCGCTATATTGGTAAAATTACTTGTTGTCATTTAATAATTTGATATACTGTAAATCTACGACATATAATATTCCACTGTTTGTATTGTGCTTTAATATTTTTTTAATTTATGATTTAATTTTATCAATAGTTATATAATTATATTTTACTTTTATTAAAATAAATAAATTAAAATTGTTCACTTTATAAAAAATTATATTTGATATATTATATTATTTAGTAATTTTATGGATCTATTATTAATAATTATAATACATTTCACTTCTGTCTTAAGACTTATCATTGGCTTATATTCCATTTATTAAAAAATATTTTTGGTTCATTTTATATATTTATAAATTTATTTTCCCCAAAATCTATAAATTATGATGAATAGTTTTATAAAATAATATAAACTTTTACATTATTTCTTTCAAATTATTATTTAAGATATATGCATACATATTTGAGGGTCAGGGAGTGGGGGGAGGACTAAGGGGGGTATTTTTTATTAGCTAAAAATGATATTTACAAAAAGTGATAAATTTCTGAAGGGGGGGGGTAAATTTCCCCTTGCCCCCTTCCTCCACCCCCCATGGCTACACCTATGAAGCAAAAGATTTCAAAAAACAAATAATAATATCTTAGAAAAAAATAATACTGTTGCTAGTTAAATTTGGTGATGATTGACTGCAAAAGTTTGTTAAAATTTTAGTTATTCAACATCACAGGTTTACTTTACGTAATACGTGATATATAGCGCTTTTGCCCACTAGTATTGAAAGTTCAACAGAGCTACGTTAGGTTTTCCTCATTTCTATCTTATTGGAACTAATTTAATTTGGGTATAAAAGTAAATATATGAGGAGCCCTCCAAACATATGTGGGTAAGCCGAACGTACTTGTAGGCGCAACATTCGAAAAATGTTACTTAAACCTCTATAGGCTTATTTAAAAATGAGTGGGGCAAAAAAAGAGCCTATACCCTAGAACTACAAAAATTTAATTACTTTAGGGTGGGCGGAGAAACATTTTTCATTTTAAAGATTTACTTATTACTGGTTTTAGTAAGGAAATTCAAAAGAATCCAGATTTACTTTAATCATCATTCAAAATAAGTCTTTATATTAATACTTCCATCCAATTTCATATGTAAATATTATTCGCACATTACCTAGGTTCTCTCTTGAAATGTAGTTCAAAAGTCATGCATTACTCAAACATTCCTACCTCATATTCCATACCTATATTATATATTTGAAATATATATAAATGAGATGATATTTGATGATCAAATAAAAGTTATGGAAAGATATGTAGATGAAGCTATGGTAAGTTATTAAGATATAATTTAAGTTTAAAAATATATAGCAGGAAATATTAATTGCGCTTAAAGAATTTAATTACCTTGATTCAACTCAAGTAAAATATTTTTGGATTTAATGAATTTTTTAAGCTTTGAAAATTTTTAAATGAAATCTTAATAGTTATTCGCAATAATATTTTTAGTTATTTAGTATCAATCTTAAATTGCATTTAAATAATTTATTTAATAATTAGAAAATTGTAATAATATTAAATTTTCTTAATATAGTTAATAGCATTTTAGGGTTGAACAGAGATGTATCACAAAAATCTTGAAAACTAAATAAATTCAGAATCCCTTCTAGGTTCATATGTCTGTAAAATTTGATCTTAACCCTCACATGCTGTAAAGGTTGTGGGGGTGTCACATCTCTGATGTTTAAAGATTATATTTTGAACAAATATAAAAAATTTTTTTTTTAAATTATAAAATATTCCTTATTATATAAAAGTTATTTTATAAAAGTATATCATATCAATGCTGTCATTATGGGGAGGGGGTATTACAAATCACTTGATTTTATTTTATTTTTCTGTACCATTTTATACATTATAAAAAAATATATCTTATTGCAAAATATAGTAATATTTCCAATATATTTTATTTTGATATAAAATGTTCAGATTTGATAGAAAACATTTTTATATTTTTAATTTATTTATAAATAAAATTATTTAACTTGTAAAAATTGCTAAATATTTTATTTTGCAAAAAAATTAAAAAATATAGAATATTTCCATCAAATTTTCAAAACACAATATTATTATATTAATTTGAGATAGGTTCTAAATTATTAAAATAAAATGTTAAAAATTCGAAATCTTATATATTTTTAAAAAACTTGAGAAGAATGTTTATCAAAATACTGAATATGGGGTATATTTCTTAAATATTTATTTGGGAATATTAAACTTCTCCATTTTTAGGAAGTTTTTTAAAAGTTCAATAGGAATCACAAATCACATAAATTTTTATCCCATGCAGGGTTCTTAGATGTAATGATTTAGCCATGAATCTCATGATTTCAAATCGATTTTTACTCAATCACATTTTCTCACACTTCACACCTTTTTCACATTTTTGAGCAAATTAAATGGGATCTATATACTAGTGAAAATACATGATGCACACTTCAACTCCTGGTGGGTGATGAAATTGCACTTCGGGCAATTTCTGGCGTGGTAATGAATGAATGCAAATAATTCACCTTTTCTCACGTTTTTAAAAATATTTTTGAAAACTAATATAAAGTTTTAAATTAATTTTATTTTTAAATATTTGAAAAAATTGTAGTATTTGTTAATAATCCAACTAACCATAATATTCATTATCAATATTTAATTTAAAAGGGATATTTTGGCCAGGGATCCAAACCGAAACTAAACCGAACCGTTAAACCGCTAAAAACCGGTATTTTTTATCGAACCTAAACCGAACCTAAACCTCTAAAAAATTTCTAGCGAACCTGAACCGAACCGCTAAAATGCCTCTGAACCGGTTCGAGTCTCATAATTTTATGCTTATAAAATAATGTGTAAGCTATTACTAGTAGTATATTGCAAAAATTTTAATTATATTCAAAAAGTTTTAAAAATTATTATCAATCACATTTGATTGAAAAACGTCAGTCATAATTTTTATAAACATTAGTATATTGCCATTTTACAACATTTTTTAAATATTTTAGGCTTATAAAATATAATGCCTAGAAAAAAATTAAATCTTCATCAAATCTTATATCATACTGGCAGGCAATGCCAGTTACCCAAGTTAGTGTGGAAAGATGTTTTTCAACAATTAAATTTATATTATCTCATAGATTGAGTGAGACGAATTTTAAAAATATATTAATTGTGCAGCTTAATAAAAAAATTTTAAGTAATTGTTCATATTAAAATTAATCTTTGTTATATTTATAAATTAAATATTATTTTATAATGTGCAATTAATAAAAATTAAGGTTTTTATTTTAATTATGAAATAAAATTTTCCTTATACATAATCCTAATGTAGGTTTGAATACAAAAGTGTTCAAACCGGTTTTTAGAGGTTCGAACCGAACCGATATTTTTATTCTTTGCTAACCGAACCTGAACTTTGAACCATTATATTTATCCGAACCTGAACCGATAATTGTTTCGGTTTGGATCCCTGATTTTGGCATTATCCTTAATTAGCACTTTATTAAATGACATAAATTTGCAACTAAAATATGAATGTCTTAGCTATATATATATGCTCTTATCAAAAAACTTAAGAATTCTATTTAAAAGTTCAACAAAATTTTTACCGAAGCATTTCCAAAATTATTTTACATGTAATAATAATGAAGAAAAGGCTTTGAATTTCATCAAAGATGTTTGTAAAAAAATAGAGAATATATAGAAATATGCTACGATAGGAAATATCTTAACCCTAGAAAATGTCAGCATTTGATGTATTACAAAAAATACTATTAATTATAAAATACCAAACATAGATTTAGGTATTCTTTTTGAGGAATATTTACATTTTTATTCCGATTATGTAGACACATTATCCAAAACAGTCACATTAATGTGCAGGAAAAATGGATAGATAGATTTCCTTTCAAATAATAACTCCTTTAATAGAGGAAGTATTCAATTTCATATTTTCCATTCCACATTCAAATGCATTATCAGAGTATTCAGCTTAATGACTACTACTTGGTGAAAAGAATATAACGGATTATTTATCTTCATTGGAAGCTGAAATTATGATTAAACAAAATTACATTTATTCAGGCAAAGAGTTTTCAGCCTATCTCCATAGCGCCAGTGCAAAATCTTTATTGCCTCTATTTAAATCATAAGTAAAATATAATGATTAATATTATGCTATATTTATAAACTTGGGATAATAATTGATAATATTAAATCAATTAAAAAATATTAAATAAATATTGTCATAAAAATCTTGTTGCATTAAATATAATATATTATGTATGATGAGTATGCTATATCGATAAACCTGGCTGAAGGCCCACAAATTGAGGGCGGAAATGTGGGGGATAAGCCCCCCCCCCCCCATAAATTATAAAAGAAATACACACGTTTTCAAGTGAAAAATATATGGCAACCCTGATCCCATATTATAAATTTTTTTTTTGGTCTAACAGGTATTCTTAATTTTCAGTCCGGCTTGTCCTTCTCTTATAATTTAGGATAACTTTACCATGATTCAAGCATATGAGTATGATTTACAAAAATATTTTTACAAATTAATTTATTTTTAAGGTCATAAAATATGGTATCTAGTGTTGTTAATTGGCTAAGCCGAGTCGACTTTAAATTTTATTCAAATTTTGAGTTATAAAACTTGCTGGAAATTGAGCCACTAAATGAGCCATATGAGTTGGCTCGATAAGTTGGTTTCAGAGTCGGCTCGATATTTTTTAAATATTTTCCTCGTGGTATAATAATATCAGACCGATTCAAAATAAATTTGAGCCAACTCTTGCCAACTTTGAAGCTAACTCATCGAGCCAACTCATGCCCTCATTGAGCCGCTCAATTTAAGGAAGTTCAGAATCGTCTTTTTAACAAGACTAATGGTATCAATTATTTTTTATGGGTATGAATTATGGCATGAATGATTTTTATATTCTAATAAGGGTGTTTTATTTACATTGTTTATTTTTATTTTGATAAGTTTTCATATAAAAAATTACAAAAAATTTATGTTTAAACAGAGTATCATTTTTTTGCATTGGTATTATGAACTTATCTAAGATCATATTAATCAAATGGGAAAAACATTTCTCATTAATATAATCTTAAATCTGTTTAGCTCTACTTACTTTTATAGAAAATTTTAAATATTTTTTTTAAAAATATTTCTACTATGAGAAATTTTATTTATCCAAAGCTCAGAAATGAGAAATTTATTTAAAAAATATATAATTTACCAAAGAGTCTAATCAAATCTATTTATTGCTCGCCAATTTGTTCTCTTTAAAATAATTGTTCCCTCAAATTTAAATCTATTAATATTTTGACAATATTATCCATGAGTTAATATAAGATTCATCTCTCGTTATTTTCAGTAGCGGGATTACCTCTTCAAAAGCCGAACCTCCAGTCCCAGGTTTTGTTTAAAATTTTTTTTAGGTATAGTCTAGGTTTGTGATTTATTTTTAAGTTAGCCCTAAACAGATTTTACCATTTTATAAGCCAGGCCTGAAGTATCTGACTGAAATGTATATATTACATTCCTTTGCATCTATCAATATTGGGTATATTAGAAATATTTTCAATTATTTTCCATTTAGCATGGGAACCCTGATTTATCCCCACAAACATAAAATTTACATTTTATCATTTTGTAAAATGGGGGTCATTTCGCTTAGTTTGAACCATGCTTTAGAATTTATAAAATACATGATGCATATTTTATATCATATATTGTCATTTATTCTAATTATATTTTGACTTTCATGAACACAAATTTTTCTTCACCAAGATATGTTTATCCAAGTTTATAAGTTTTAAAAACTAAGAATATATTATATTAGAAAGATTTACTTTTATAAACATTCATCTCAATGGTGTCACAAGATCAAAATTATCTTTATTTAAGAAAATAATGGAGAGGCGTGGATGTTTGTTAGATTCTAATTTAATAAATTTATTACTTTTAAAGGCTAATAAAAGATTATAAATATTTTGATAGATCATTTAATATAAATAAAACTTTTTGATAAAAAAATATGATTTTGTTTCGTGTACCTTCTAAAAAAATGAAAATCAAAGGAGCGGTTATGGATTGGCCCATTACTTGGAGCGGAAGCTAGTTCCTTTTAAAAATGTAGTAGCGGGAGTGGGAGCTAGCTCTTTTTGAGAAGGTAGGAGCGGGAGATAGCCACTTTTAAAAAGAAGCGTTAACAACTGATAAATAACACATTTACTTAAAAAAATTTAACTTAAATTAAAACTTCTTATAATTCTTTTTTAATTTTACGAAAATTTTAATTTTAAACTTCTTCAAACATTTTATATTTTTAGCCTGCTAAAAAAATCGGCTAGACCATGTTTTT